GGTGGCCATACATCAGCGGAAAGGGTGATGAATGAGGAAGGACGCTCCGCCCTGAACCCCTTCGATTGGGACTGCGCCCAGCCAGCTGAGAGCCGCAATGACGAACCAAGCGTTGGGTGGTCCGCATGGTGTGCGACGGCTCCAGCATCGAGGGAAGTCGAACCGCTCGCCCGTCTGAAGGCCGCCATGGAGGAGGAGATCGCGGACCACTGGCCTCAGGAAGAGTTCCGAAGGGCCTCGCGTGCCGATGGCGCGAGCAACGAGCGCAGAGCCGCCAGCCGACTACGTCGGAGCTGGTCCATCTTCTCGCGAGCCATCCGCCAAGGGGGTTAAGAGGCCGCATTCTGCGAAGCTTGAGACCGCCTCACGGCGGCAAGGACGTCGGGAGACTCCGCGGGCAAGGGGAACGACGGCGAGGGCAGCGGCAAGAGAGCGAAGAGGCCAAGCAGTCGCGCGGCAGATGATCAACAAGAGCCCAGGCGGCGCGGCTCCTCACGGATGAAGACAGGATGCCCCGCCCATGGTTCGCGTGCGACGACGCGGAGCAGCGCTACGGATTCTCCCCCTCTGTCGCATGGAGGTGCCACAAACTGGGTGTCGTCGTGGAGGTGGGGCTCGGACAGCTGGCGCGATGACATCTGGGGCCGAGGCGGTCGCAGTCGGGGGTGACAGGAAGACAACGTAGGGGAGATCAATGATATGAGTGGCGGATAGCAGTTGACGCCTCTGGTTGCAGGTGGTGGCGCATGTGCCTTGAGGTGGAGGCGCGGGTCGCGCCCTCGCTGCGGCCGTCTTCGTTGGCCGAGAACCCGATGGGGGGGCCCGCGGCCCCCTCTGGCGCCTATCGGCGGCAAAATGGATGGTTGACTGGTTGGGGCGGGAACCCCCGCAGCCCCAATTGATGGGAACTGCGAAGGGCGAGAGGCCAAGTGACGGCCCTCACCGACGAGGCCTATTGAGGCCCTTGCCGATGGGATGGGCGAGAGAGTGGGGGGTCATCCCGAGTGCCGATGCCGCCCGCGATGCCCCCCATTCCTGGGTGGCGATGCCGTCCGCGATGCCCTCCACTCCTGAGGAGGGATTCCGGCATATTGGGGGCCCATGCCAGCGCGCGCAGTTTCGACTTCGGGACCCGCCATTCTCCGCTTGATCATTATCCCACGCGGCGGGAGATGCCGGGGAAACGGGCGGGGCGGGGGCGCAGATGTGACGCGGGTCGCCCTTCTGCGTCGCACCCGGAGAGAGAGGGAGATATATATATATATATATATATAGAGAGAGAGAGAGAGAGAGAGAGAGAGAGAGAGAGAGAGAGAGAGAGAGAGAGAGAGAGAGAGAGAGAGAGAGAGAGAGAGAGAGAGAGAGAGAGAGAGAGAGAGAGAGAGAGAGAGAGAGAGAGAAAGAGAGAGAGAGAGAGAGAGAGAGAGAGAGAGGGAGAGAGACAACAAAAAAAGAGCTGGGCCGCAGCAGCAGGGCCCAATAGCGCAAACGCGGCCAAACCGAACCCCGCGAGAGCGCGCCAGCAGCAGGGCAGAGGCGCAAATTATCAACGCGCCGCGTCATTGGGAGGAAGGGCCAGCGCGACGAAACGGCGGACGACATGTGGCGACGCCACCTGGCCGGGCCTCAGCGGCTTGGAGAAGGCCCCCGCAACCCTTCGGAGGTCAGTGGCCAGATGTGGTTGCGTTGATCTGGCTGATCCTCGGTGACCTGTCCGAGGCCCCCGGGGGCCTGCCGAGGTCACCCGCGGGGGTTCCCGCGGCCTGCGCCCCCGCCGCGAGAGACGGGGCGGACCGCGCGGCCGCGGTCATGGAGGGTCTTGAAGCGGGGCCCTGAGAAAGACCACTTATCGCACTGCGGAGCGGGGGCGGGGTGGGGGCCCAGGAAAGCAGAAGGGGGGGCCAACGGGGCGGGGGAAGGGGCCGGAGTGGAGAAAGAGGGGGCACAAACGCGACGCAAACGGCTATGCCGAGAGCGCACCTTCGAGATTCACAATCGCGGCTCAAATGCGTCCATGAGGGATGCAGTGAGTCGCCGTAGCACGCAGGTGCCATGCACCCGCGTCTTTATGCTCTCAGACAGTGGGGGCGCTGTCTGCCGTGCACTACGTCGCAAAACGCTTGCGTGACAAGTCGGGGCGCTACCTCAATCAGGCACGTCCGCCCGCGCGAGTGGACCTGGCCCGGCCAGCCGCGGGGGAGGGGGATTTGGTCATCCCCCCGCGTGCCTGTGCCATGCACAGCGACGTTTCTGCTGCTGTGAGTTGGTCCTGTCAGGAAAGACCGCCGCGCCCCGCCGTTCGCGCCCGCCCGGCCGGCTGGGTCTTGTCTATCTGTCGTGCCAACCGAAGCTTAGCGGATACTATGCGCACTTGCAGCCATAGCGACAATAAGTGCATCACCGATCCAGAAGATGAATAAGAACAAGAGGCTGCTACAGGAATTACGCTACTGAGGAACCCCACATACTTATAAGATGGCTGGAGAGATAAGAGCTGAAGTGAAGCATGTGAGAATGATGCTGGTGGCCGTTGCCCCGCCGATACCGCTGCGCCCTGGACGACCGTCATGGATAGCGGCCGCGGTGAGAGACCACCCCCTGCGCACCCCCTTATGGTGTCGAGAATATGTCATGCCTGCTGTGCCCTGGACGACCGTCACGGATAGCGGCCGCGGTGAGAGACCACCCCTTGCGCACCCCCTGTGGTGTCGAGAATATGCCATGCCTGCTGTGCCCTGGGCGACCGTCACGGATAGCGGCCGCGGTGGGAGACCACCCCTTGCGCACCCCCTACGCTGTCGAGAATATGCCATGCCTGCTGTGCCCTGGACGACTGTCACGGATAGCGGCCGCGGTGAGAGACCACCCCCTGAGCACCCATGTATGGTGTCGAGAATATGCCATGCCTGCTGTGCCCTGGGCGACCGTCACGGATAGCGGCCGCGGTGAGAAACCGCCCCCTGCGCACCCCCTATGGTGTCGAGAATATGTCATGCCTGCTGTGCCCTGGACGACCGTCACGGATAGCGGCCGCGGTAAGAGACCACCCCCTGCGCACCCCCTACGCTGTCGAGAATATGCCATGCCTGCTGTGTCCTGGACGACTGTCACGGATAGCGGCCGCGGTGAGAGACCAGCCCCTACGCACCCCCTTATGGTGTCGAGAATATGCCATGCCTGCTGTGCCCTGTCACGGATGTGCGCCGCTGTCGAGAATATGCCATGCCTGCTGTGGCGACCGTCACGGATAGCGGCCGCGACCACCCCCTGCGCACCCCCTATGGTGTCGAGAATATGCCATGCCTGCTGTGCCCTGGACGACCGTCACGGATAGCGGCCGCGGTGAGAGACCACCCCTTGCGCACCCCCTATGGTGTCGAGAATATGCCATGCCTGCTGTGCCCTGGACGACTGTCACGGATAGCGGCCGCGGTGAGAGCCCCCCCCAGCGTATCACCCCCCATGCCTGCTGTGCCCTGGACGACCGTCACGGATAGCGGCCGCGGTGAGAGACCACCCCTGCGCACCCCCTATGGTGTCGAGAATATGCCATGCTGCTGTGCCCTGGACGACTGTCACGGATAGCGGCCGCGGTGAGAGACCACCCCTGCGCACCCCCTATGGTGTCGAGAATATGCCATGCCTGCTGTGCCCTGGACGACCGTCACGGATAGCGGCCGCGGTAAGAGACCACCCCCTGCGCACCCCCTACGCTGTCGAGAATATGCCATGCCTGCTGTGCCCTGGACGACTGTCACGGATAGCGGCCGCGGTGAGAGACCAGCCCCCACGCACCCCCTTGTGGTGTCGAGAATATGCCATGCCTGCTGTGCCCTGGGCGACCGTCACGGATAGCGGCCGCGGTAAAAAAATCACCCCCTGCGCACCCCCTACGCTGTCGAGAATATGCCATGCCTGCTGTGCCCTGGGCGACCGTCACGGATAGCGGCCCCGGTAAAAAACCACCCCCTGCGCACCCCCTACGCTGTCGAGAATATGCCATGCCTGCTGTGCCTGGGCGACCGTCACGGATAGCGGCCGCGGTGAGAGACCACCCCCTGCGCACCCATATGCCATGCCGGCCTGCTGTGCCCTGGACGACCGTCACGGATAGCGGCCGCGGTGAGAGACCACCCCTTGCGCACCCCTATGGTGTCGAGAATATGCCATGCCTGCTGTGCCCTGGACGACGGTCACGGATAGCGGCCGCGGTGAGAGACCAGCCCCTACGCACCCCCTACGTTGCTGTGCATGTGTTGTGCTGTGCTGTGCTGTGCTGTGCTGTGCTGTGCTGGGCTGTGCTGCGCTGTGTAAGAAGGAGAGAGAGGGGAGGAGGAGACGCGGGTGCGCCGCGGCAGGGAAGAAAACCAGAACCCCACGAAACATGTGGGAAGAACAGAAATGGTGACAACAATAACAACAACAACATGAACATGAGTGCGCTTTGCCGATCAATTGGGCCATGGAATATCCCGCACTAAGACAGAGTTTGCACATTTCGGAGGGTCCAGCTTCAAGGCTTGAGGACATTTTTTTGTGGGGGGGGGTCCGGGCGCGTCCCGGGGATTGTCTGGGGACCTCCAGAGGTTTGCGATATCCAGGAGGCTCACGCGGCACATTCTGGAAGGAGGCCCCGTGCCCTTCACAGCCTACGCTGTCCGCGCCCCCTCTCGGTCTTCACTCCCCGCCCTCAACTTCAGCAGGGCGTTCCGACGTTCCGATGCGTGTTCGAGGCGCGGCCGCGGATCTACATGCGATTGTCTGTGAGCGTATGCCCCGCTACGTTGAATCTTCGGGAGTCTTTTTCTGTCCCCATTTGTCCCCGTCCAAGGTGTGTCCTTCTCTTGTACCCTGCGCAGATTCGATGCGGATCCGATGCGGGTTCGACGTGAATTCGCAGCGGATTTGACGTTCAACGTGGGTTCGACGCAGAAAAATGCGACGACGCCCCCCGAATGTGCAAGTGGAGCCTTGTGTATCGTGAGTGCTTTCGCCCGGAGGCCTCGGGATGGCTCTCCTCGAGCCCATGGCGGCCAGCGTGTGCCTGGTGGTCATGAGCCAGGCCAGGGGCAAGGGCGGGAAGAACGGGTGGAGAGGCGGGTGGTCTCGGGTTCTTTCGATGTTTTGTTGAAGGCTAGGATTATCACGGTGACGTTGATCATGGTGACGGTACTGCTGATGATGATGCTGATGTCGATGAGGGTCATGATGATGATACTCAGGACGATGGTGGGGACTTGGCGCGTGATTATGATGATCATGGTGCTGTTGAAGATGATCATGATGATGACGATGGAGGTGGTGATTACAATGCTGATTGTGATACTGATGATGCTGAGAATGATGGTGCTGCTACTGATGCTGATGCTGGTGCTGATTATGATGAGGATGACGATGATAATGATGAGGAGGATGTGGATGAGGATGGGGGTGTTGATGAGGAGGAGGAGGGTGAGAATACGGATGAGGATGCTGATGAGCATGCTAATTATGAGGATGAAGGTCAGGATGAGGATGAGGATTCTGCTGCTGACGATGATGATGATGGCTATGATGGCGATGATGATGATAATGCTGTAGATGATGATGCTGATGATGATGATGCTGATGATGATGATGATGATGATGGTGATGGTTGTGATGATGGTGGTGATGATGATGATCATCATGATCATGATGATGATGGTGAGGAGGAGAAGGATAAGGAGGATGTGCATGCTGAGGACGAGGATGATGATGGCGATGGCGATGGCGTTGGCGCTGACGACGACGAGGAGGAGGCGGAGGATTATGGCGATGCCGATAGCGATTGCGTCACGATCACGACGACGATGATGAGGACGACGACGACGACGATAATGGTGGAGGTGGTGGTTGTGGTGATGACGAGGATGCTTGAATTGAACCAAGCTGACTGTGGTGATTGTGATGATGGTGATGGTCATTGTGATGATGGCATGGCCATGCTCATGCTGCTGATGATGGTATTGGTGATCAGGATGATGATGATGCTGACGACGACAACGACGATGAGGATGAGGATGAGGAATAGAAGGATGAGAAGGATGAGGATGTGGATGAAGATGAGGATGAAGAGGAGGAGGATGAAGATAGGAGGAGGCGGAGGAGGATGAGGATGAGTTTGAGGATGACGATGATGATGATGACGAGGACGAGGATGATGAGGAGGAGGAAGAGGAGGATGACGCTGCTGCTGATGATGACGATGATGATACTGATGCTGATGATGCTGATACTGATACTGATGATGATGATGAGAAGGATGAGGACGAGGATGAGGATGCGTACGAGGATGAGGAGGAGGAGGATGAGGACGATGAGGAGGATGAGGATGAGGATTAGAATGAGGATGAGGATTAGGATGAGGATGAGGATGAGGACGACGAGGGAGAGGAGGAGGATGATGAGGATTATGATTATGATTATGATGATTATGATGGTGATGGTCATGATGTTGGTGATGTTGATGATGTTGATGCTGATCATAATGATGATGCTGATGATGATGATGATGCCGATGATGATGATGATGATGATGCTGATCATGATCATGATGATCATGATCATGAGCATTCTGATGATGCTGAGGATGATGAGGCCAAGGAGGACGAAGATGATGATGAGGAGTAGGATGATGAGGCGGACGAGGAATGTTAATGGCGATGGCGTTGGCTTTGGCGATGACGACGAGGAGGAGGAGACGGATTATGTCGATGGCGATTGCGGTTGGCGATGACGACGACGATGATGAGGAGGATGATGGTGATGGTGGTGGTTGTGGTGATGATGCGGATGTTTGAGTTGAACCGTGTTGATTTTTGTGATTGTGATGCTGGTGTTGGTAATTGTGATGATGGTCATGATGATACTGGTGGTGATGATGGTGACGATGCCGATGCCGACATTGTTTGTGCTGGTTTGACTGATGGTGATGATGCTGACGATGATGATAAGGATGAGGATAAGGACGAGGATGATGAGGAGGATGAGGATGAGCATGCTGAGGGTGAGGGTGAGGATGAGGACATTGATGAGGATGAGGATGAGGATGAGGATAAGGATGATGCTGATGATGATGCAGGTAAGGATGATGATGATGATGATGATGATGATGATGATGATGATGATGATGATGATGATGATGATGGTGAGACTGATGCAGACGATGCTGGTGGTGGTTGTCATGATGGTGGTGATGATGGTGACTGTGATCAGCATCATCATCGTCATGATCATGATGATGATGCTTGGGAGGAGGATGAGGAGTAGGAGGATGAGGAGAACGAGGATGATGATGGCGATTGCGATGGCGTTGACGTTGGCGCTGGCAACGAGGACGAGGAGGAGGAGGATCAGTTTCGCGATGTCGATCGCGATTGCGATTGGCGATCACGATGGCGACGACGATGGTGCGGACGACGACGATGATGGTGATGGTGGTGGTTGTGGTGATGATGGGGATGATTGAGTTGAACTGGGCTGACTGTGGTCATTGTGATGATGGTGGTGGTCATTGTGATGATCGCCATGATGATGCTGATGATGATGCTGGTGATGCTGATAGTGCTGATGCTGATGATAAGGATGATGATGATGCTGCTGACGACGACGACATTGATGATGATGACCATGAGAATGCTGATGATGATGAGGGGGATGAGGAGGAGGATCAGGACGAGGATGAGGAAGAGGATGAGGAGGAGGAGGAGGAGGGGAAGGATGAGGAGGAGGTGGCGGAGCATGATGATGAGTTTGAGGATGAGGATGAGGAGGAAGAGGATGCTGATATTGCTGCTGCTGATGATGACGCTGATGATGCTGATGATGATGAGGAGGAGGACGATGACGATGAACATGAGGATGAGCATGAAGATGATCGGGAGGAGGATGAGGATGAGAAGGATGAGGATGGGGATTAGGATGATGAAGAGGATGAGGATGCGGACGAGGAGGATCAGGAGGACGATGATGGTTATGTTGACGATCATAATGATGGTGATGATACTGATGCTGCTTATCATCATGATCATGCTGATGATGATGAGGATGACGATGCTAATGATGCTGCTGTCGATGATGATGATGATGAAGCTCATAGACGGAACGGCCGGCCCCAGCGTATGGGCAGCGGCATCGTCCCTCTCGACGAGGACGAGGACGACGAGCACACGGCTGCTGCCCCCCGCGGCCGCGCCCACCTCCAGAGGGCCATCCTGGCCCGCCTCGACACGCAGGCGCGCCTGGAGCTTCGCGAGCGCCACGCGCAGGCCGGCAACAACCCAGCGCTGCGCCGCCTGGAGGACCTCAGCCACCCCGACACTAACCACGAGTGGCTTTGGGCTCTGAGCCGACACAAGGGGCCCCTCCTCGACCAGCAGGGCTTCGTGGAAGGGCTCCGCCTGCGCCTCGGTGCCGCCGGCCCCAGCGAGCCCACGCTCTGCAACCTCTGCGGCACTGAGCTGCTCGACTCCGCGGGCTCGCACGCCCTCTGCTGCAGCAGAGCCGAGGCTACGAGGGGCCACCACGCGCTGGCACGGCAGGTGTACGAGGCCGCCAGGAGCTGCGACCCCGCCACCGAGCTCGAGGCGCAGAACCTCATTCCAGGCACCCGCCTGCGGCCCGCGGACGTACTCACGGGGGCGCTGGGGCACGGGCTCACGGCGTTCGACATCGGGATCGCTTCTCCCGACGCGTGCAACGCCGGCCCCGACTGCGTCTCCAGCGTGTACGAGCGCAAGACGGCGTACTACGCCCCTTACAGCGATGTTCTGGACCGCCAGAACATCCTGTACCAACCCTTAGTCTGGTCAGCCTACGGGCGGCCCCACCCCCGGACGACATCCATCCACCGCACACTCGCGACCCGCCTTGCCCGGCGGAGGGGATGCTCGGACGGGGCGTGGCGGTACCGCCTCCTGGCCAGCGCGGCTGGCGTGGCGCTGTGCCGGCGGGCGGCCGCCCACGTCAGGGCCTGCTGGCCTGGCGGGGATGACGACTAAGGCGCCGGCCGCCGGCCGGCCCACCCCCGCGGGCGCGGGCCCCCCCTTCCCACCACCCCCTTCCGCCCCCGCCCGAGCACGCGCGCCTAACCAGCGGGGTCTGGTGGCTCACACCCCGCGGCTGTGCTCCCCCTGGTGCCCCCTGCTTGCCTGCCTGCTTGCTGCCCCTCCTCCCTCCCCCTCCTCCTTCCTCGCTCCTCCTCCTCCCTGTCCCCCCTATTCTCCTGGGCCCGGAGGCCGCGTGCTGGCGCAAAGCGGCCGGTGCAGTCTTTTCTCCTCCTCCTCCTCCTCCTCCTCCTCCTCCTCCTCCTCCTCCTCCCCTCCCCCGTCTGTTCCCCCTCCCGTTCGGCGCGACGGAGTCGTCGCTACAGTCTGCCCGGGGTCCACAGATCAGAGTGCGCGCTGCGCCTGTCTAGCTGCGCGGCCGCCCAAGAGCGGTGGCATCCGAACTCGTTGCTCGTACTGGTGGCTTGAATTGCCGCGCCACTGTCGCCCGGTGACGAGGCGCGTACATATCCGTGGCCCCTGGACAGGCCCGTGCTGTGCCAGGAGCGGTGTTGTTTTTTTGCCCCTGTGGCTAAGCCAGGAGGGCGTGCGCACCGCTCTTGGGAATGCTGGGGAGGTCGGTCCCTCCTCTCAACCCAGTGCGTCCAGCACCACAGTCTGCGGTGCCGGACACGCGGCTGGGGGGAGAGGGCGGCGTTTCGTTATGTCCCCCCGCCCCCCCTCTCCTGTCCATGATGAAGCTCATGATGCTGATGATGATGATGCTGAAGCGAATGCGGAGGATGAGGACGAGGGTGTTGATGATGATGATTCGGATGAGGATGCGGAAGACGAGGACATTCGATGGCGGTGGCGTTGGCTATGGCGATGACGACGACGTCGAGGAGGAGGAGGATGATTAGGTCGATGGCGATGGCGATAACGATTGGCGATCACGACGGCGACGATGAGGACCATGATGATGGTGATGGTGGTGGTTGTGGTGATGATGCGGATGATTGAGTTGGACCGTGCTGATTCTGTTGATTGTGAGGATTGTGCTGGTACTTCTGATGATGGCCATGATCAGAATGGTGGTGACAATGGTGACGATGCCGATGACGTTGATGCTATCACCGATGTCGGTGGCGACGTTTATTAGGTTGTTTGTAATGATGGTTATGACGCTGACGATGATGAGAAAGATGATGATGATGCTGATGATGATGATGATGATGATGATGATGATGATGATCAGATGGTGATGATGCTGATGATTTTGATGATGCTGATGATTTATTGTGGTGCTAATGATGATACTGGTTCTGTCACAGTGGTGGTAATGATGATGGTAAACAGGAGGAGACAAACCGATGCCCGCAACTACACGGAGGGCTATAGCCAGCGGGTTAGCACCAGCCAGAGCGAGGGCTACATCCCGATGGAAAGCTACAACCTGTCGGACAGCTGCAGCCTACGGTAGGTTCGTGCGGCGTCGGCGCGCGCAAATGCTTTTGACGCCGCGTCGATCGTTCCAGCTTGAATCGATCGCGGCCCCGATCGTTCAAGGTTGAATTCAGTCGGGTCCAGTGGCGTTACCGTCCATCGGTGCTTCCGGGTCGCAGAATTCAACCTTGTTTGCCTTCGCCAGCGTCACTGGCGCGCCAACGCCCCATGAACTTAATGTACCGGAGAGCGTCAGCCACAACGAGGGCAACAGCCTGAATGGAGGGCGTCGCCTGAAGGAGAGCTACAGCCGCAATGAGAGCTACAGATGCGAGGAGGGTTTAGCCTAAAGGAGAGCGGCAGCCTCAATGCAAGCTATGTACAGCTACGATGGGAGCTGCACTCTGAAGGCCAGCTGCAGCCAGCCACGACTAGGGCTACAGCCACCGCGAGAGCTGCAGCAGTGAGGAGAGCTTCAGCTTGAACTACAGCCACGAACAGCTGAACAGCTGCAGCAATGACCGCAACCTGAAGGCCAGCTACATGCATTACGCGAGCTGCAGCTACGACGGTATCTACAGCTTGAAGGAAAGCAGGAGCCTGTCAGACAGCGCCAACCACAACGTGGGCGAGAGGAACAAGGGAACTGCAGCCGCAACGAGAGCGAACAGCAACGAGGTCGACAATGAGAGCTGCAACTACGACGAGAGCTGCAGCCTGCCGAACGCCAGACGCAGCGAGGGACAACCATAATGAGAGCTGCAACCGGAACGGGAGCTACAGCTACAGCGCCAGCGTGAAGGAAACGGCGCTGGCCCACCAGATGGTCCTGTACCATGTCGCGCCCCAGGCACGGCACCCTGCCTCATAGGCCTCAGGGCGAGACCGCTGGTCAACCCGCGCGACGGTGAGCCTGGGCTTTCCGACGGGGCTGCCCGCTGCTGGGTCTTCAAAGCAGGGTCGGAGTCTCTACCGAGAACGGCAGCCGGCCTGGAGCCCCTCGGTCGTAGGACCGAGAATGCGTTTGGATTTGACTTTATGCAAACAGCCCACACAGATAGTCGGCGGCAATTCAGAGGGTGAAGTGAGAAGGAGAAGGCCTTTTCAGAAGTCTCGGAAGTCCCCCAGCCTCCTGAGAAGTTTTCTCAGCCTTCACTGAGACAGCACAAACCTCTCAGAATGCTCGAGTTCTTCTCAGAGGGAGAAGTCCCGCCGCCTTTTGAGAATGCCTTTTCCTTCTTACTTCCCCCCCTCGCTCGCCGCCAAGATAAGCACCAGGGCCCGATGCTCAGCGGTGTGGAGCTCAAGCGTCCGCGCCGAGGCTGCGTCCGAAGTGGATCCTAATGGCCAGGGGGGCGCCACGTGGGCACTCGGGCGAGACTGGCCCCCGCCCGACACCAGAAGTGGCAACGAGGGACACACCACCGGCGTTCCCAACCTTCCCTCGGCATCTCGCGGATCTGGAGGCGTTGGACACGCTGGCATGACGTTCCTCAGCCAAGACTCCACCGCGGCAGAGCAAGGTAGCACATCCTGCGGGGTCTCCTCGGTGACTGCGTCATCGAAGACTCCGAGGAGCTGCCTCGCGGCCTGGCCCGCCCTGGACAACGGCGGCCTGGAACATGGCTTCGACAGCCGAGCGGGCCGAACTGGGACAGCCGGGCCATCGCCACGTCTGCTTGCTCAGTTTTCGGCCAGGATGCGGATCTGCTTCATTTTCCGCGTCCACTGCGTCATGGCGTTGCGGGCATTCTACGTTGTCTACCTACTTTCTCCATTCTCCATGTCGCCTCGCATGTTATGGAGTTTCTGTTATTTCGTTGTCATTCCCATACTCATTCCCACTTGTTTGGTTGCGTGCCCACTCTTCGTGTGTGGGGGTTGGGAGGGTGGGTGTTGCGAGTTGCTAGGGAACCGAGATCCTTCAGCTGAGTGCGGGCGAGGTGCGCTGCGTCAAGGCGCTCGTAAGCATGTGAGGGCGAGGATGAGCACGATTAGGATGATGATCAGGAGGAGCAAGAGCGCATGCGAGGAGCGTTGGCACCATCACTAGTTGAAGCAGGAGTGTGAGATGGGCTGCGAGTGGGTGCGTTCCACACTGAGCGAGTTCCCTTGCCGCCGCTTTGATCTTTCGGTTGCCGGCCCTGCTTGGACAGGGGGCCTGGCCCGTACCTACTGCTGCGCAGTGCGCGAGGCTGTCGCGATCTCTCGACCTCATGCTGGTTTCCAGCCTGAGTGGTGTGCGTTCTCCTCGGCAGTGCAACTGGCCGAAGGGCTGGGGCCAGACGAAGAAGAAAAAACGGCATGAACATAACTTTTCGGAGCTCCGCGAGGATTGCTTGGATTTGCGCTGGGCCCCCCGGCGGCGCCTCCGGCGCCGCCTCTGGCGCGCTCCGCGCGCCAGGGAAGGGAGTCCGGCGCAGATCTAAGAAACCCACGCGGAGCGTCAAAAGGTTATGTTTATGGTGGTTTTCTTATTCTAGTCAGGAACAGTTACTTCACATACGTGTTTTCCTTGGGAAGTCAATGCTATCCCACCAACCAAGATTCACGAGCGACGAGCACATGCCCATACCCACGCCCTCGCCGTGTGGATACCCGGGGCGGGACCCTGTGGATTCGCGATCCCATGGATACGCTACGCGCGTGGCATACGCGCGAAGACTTGCTGCAAAATTTATGCAGCAAAGGCGACCACTCGTGAACCCTACCCCTGCGGGTCCAATCGGTGGAGGTGGTTGTGTATGTTCGGTTCCCAGAATGGGGTCGAGCTGGCCCGCGCGCTCGCCGGTAGGTCCTGCTGCGCTGCTCGCCCGGCAGCCGCGCTGGGCTCATAGTGCACGACCGCATCGTCAACACCGTGGGCAATTGGCAGGACGCGGCGCCAGCCCGACTTAGCTACGTGTTTCGGCAGCGTCCAGCCGATTTCCATCCCGATTGGAACATGGTATCTCAGCCCCACCACCCCAACTGGCCAGAAGGGGATGGGTCGCGCGAGACTCTCGGGCCGAACGAAAGGGGGGGATAGGGAAGGGGGGGGGTACGAAATCTGCTGCATGCAGCTGGTTTCGGCCCCGCCGCCGGGCCCATTCCTCGATGTATGGCCGCTTCCGGCGCCGGGAGGCGCCGGAAAAATTTGTTTCGTGAGCTGATTCTTGAACCCCCTTTGCTTTCCCCCCCTTTCGCCCAGCCCGAGACTCGAAGGGACCACCACTTATCTCCATGTGGAGGGGTTACTACGGGAAGGTAGTGAGTGGATCACCTTTTTTTATGTCTGCACATTTTCGTTGGGTTGGGAATCATGTTGCGCGTGCCCGACCTACTCGTATTTCCTATTTTCGCTAGTGTTCACACCCGAGGCGAGGGCGCAAAACTCCTGTATCCTGGAAATGTTCCGCCTTCCAATGTGTGTTTTTATTGGGTTTTAATATTTTGCGGCGCTGCCAAAAATCGCGCACACTCAATTCAGCTACATCGCGCGTTGCGCCAAATTTGTCTAAGTGTGATGTTTCGCCACGCCTCGTGCCAAATCAGAGGTTTTTGTTGTAGTCTTCCGTTGGGAATTCCGTGAATGCGACGCGCAAGAATCAGCAAACAACGGTGCCTTGCTCGTACAGCAAATGCCAAAAACACGTTGACGAGAGCGAGAGCGAGAGCGAGAGCGAGAGCGAGAGCGAGAGCGAGAGCGAGAGACGAGGGGAGATCGACAGCGAGCGGCTCGCTCGCGCCATCCATCGCCGCTCCCGCTCTGCTCCCCGCGCGCGCCGCTGTGCCCTCGCGCCCGTGGCCGCCAGCCCGCCCGCGGAGCCCACGGGGCGATGGGGGTCGTGCGAGCGCGGGCGCTGGCGTGGCGCTCGTGAAAGCGGTCGCTCATCGCCCTCGCCGCTGCTGTGCGTCGCTGGCGTTGCCATCGTCGCTCTTCGCACAGTGCTCATAATGCAATGTGGTAGTAATGGGCGTGGGCGCGTCGGCATGCTAATTGCTCTTAGTTGCTGTTTGTTTTTGTTGGCGAGCGCCCACTTAGCTTATGTATGTTTTCGGGTGTCGCGTACGCGTCACCAATGATCGCGCGTTGCAGCGGATTTGCGGCTCTGAAAATGCAACGCGATGCAGATTCACATTTGCGCGATCGCGCTGCTCGTGCGACAGGCGCGCATGTCGTTCGCCCGTCGGGCCGCGCATGTCGGATATACCTGGGCGCGCGTGAGCCCCGATCCACGACCTAGTATATTTAGGTCGTAAGCGCGCCGACGTTTTAACGCGCGCGTGCACGCGCTATACACAAATACGCTATAGCCAGAATTTGCGCGCGACGCGTTCGGCGCTAGGTTGTGCAAGCAGCAAACCTCATGGCAAAACATTAAGTGCCGATGCCGATACGGGCCAGATGGGCGCGCGGAGCGGCCGAATCGCATTCCCAACCCAGCCGAGATTGCGAAACGCATCATGTCAACGATGACCTTCCCAGGATAACTCGGTCAATGGGGCCGCAGTCGTGTCATCGGGGATGCGCATCCGTTAGACACTGCTCATTGCGCGGATTTCCGTAACGGAAGTGTGTGCACAGAGGATCCCCCCCCCGCGCGGACGTTTTTGGGCTTGAAGTGCAGGCGGGCGGCGTGTTTCTGGATCACCGCCGAGAGGCAGACGATCTTCTGCACCGCCACCTTCCCTGAAGGCACAGTATGCCCTCGCCAGTGGGCGTCTTTGCACGCGCTTTCGGTTGCCAGTATTCAGGACCTTGAGGCAATGGTCACTTTGAGTTCACGACGGCTTGTGGTTTCCAGGCCACTCCTGAAGTCCAGGTCGGGGGACCTGTTCGTTGCCGAGGCTCGCCGTGATCAGAAGCGCTCGTCTTCATTCCTTGTTCAGCGTTCTTTCTGGTAGCACGATGGGTGTGCATGCGCTGGGGATTATTTAATCGCTTCGCTCATTCCGCCGGCCCATAATGTCGCACCGTGGTCTCCTGTCCGAGTAGTCGTTTGCAGTGTGGAGCTGCGGCGTCGGGAGCTGTGTAGTTGTCGATAAATGTGTTAATGTCGTTTCATGGGGCTTCTAGGTGTTTGCAGTTTTTTGACGGCTTTGGTGCCAACGTGGGGGCGTGTTACCCGTGGTATCCCGCTGTGGGGCCGTTCGAGCCGGGGGAACAGACATCTTATGCGATAGGGGAACCCTCGTGTCGGAGGGTGGCGGGCTTTGAATGCTAACATTGGCACTCTTATCGTCCTGATGTCCTCTGGCGTTGCGGACACGGGCGTGAAGGAGTTTCTCTTACCATCTCTTTTCTAATTGGACCGGAGGAGGAGGAGGAGGAGGACACTGGACGACGAGGAGGAGGAAGAGGAGGAGGAGGAGGAGGAAGGAGGAGGGGGATGAGGAGCGATGAGGAGCGCCTTTGTCGTCGTCGTCGTCGTCGTTATCCCCGGTGACTGAATGAGCGGCGCCCCGGCGCCACCTCCCAGCCCCCCGCGCGGCCGCCCTTTTGGGCGAACTGGGAGTCGCCTCGCCTCGCCTCGCCTCGCCTCGTCGTCGTCGTCGCCGCCGCCGCCCGCCGCCGCCGCCGCCGCCCGCCGGCGTCGTCGTCGTCGTCGGGGAGGGTCGAGGCTCGAGGCTGGAGGCCGAACGCGGGGGAGGAGGACCACCCCGACCCGCGTTTCCCAAGTCGCGTCTGGCTGGAGTCTTGGAGGCGTCCTGGGGGCATCCTGAGGGTTTTTCGGAGGCCTCCAGAGGGCCTTTTGGAGGCCTCTTGAGGCCTCTTGAGGGCCTCTTGGGGGCCTCTTGGGGCCTTTGAGGGCGTCTTGGGGCCTCCCGGGGGCCTCTAAGGGCCGAGAGCTCGAAATTCTGTTTCGTGAGCCCGCTCTTGGGGCGTTCTTGAAGCGTTCTTGGTGCCCTCTTGGGCCGTCTTGGAGGCCTCTTGGGCCGTCTTGGAGCCGTCTTGGGCCATCTTGGAGCCCTCTTGGGGGCCTCTTGGGCCCTCGTGGGGCGATCTTGGAGGCCTCTTGAGCCGTTTAGGGGCGTCGGGGGACCGAAAAGGTTGAAACGCCCAAATCTGTCCAAAAACTATGGAAAAGCATTGTTTGTTTGCCTCTTGGGGCCCTCTTGGGAGTGCACTTAGAGACCTCCTGGGGATCTTGGAGGCTTCTTGGGTCATCTTGGAGACGTCTTTGGCCGTCTGGAGGCCATCTTGGGCGCCGTGGAGCGATATTCGGGCGTCTCGGACCTCTCTTGGACCGTGTTGGGGGCGTTTCTGGGGCCCTCTTGGGCCGTCCTGGAGGCCTCTGGGCCCGTCTTGGAGCCGTCTTGGGCCGTCTTGGGGCCCTCTTGGGGGCCTCTTGGGCCCTCTTGGGGCGATCTTGGAGGCCTCTTGAGCCGTTTAGGGGCGTCGGGGAACCGAAAAGGTTAAAACGCCAAAATCTGTCCAAAACCAAAGGAAAAACACAGTTGTTTGCCTCTTGGGGCCTTCTTGGGAGTTCTCTTGGAGGCCTCTTGGGGCATCTTGGAGGCTTCTTGGGCCATCTTGGAGACGTCTTGGGCCGTCTGGCGGCCATCTTGGGCGCCGTGGAGCGATCTTCGGGCGTCTCGGACCTTTCTTGGATTGTGTTGGGGGCCTCTTGGGGCCCTCTTGGGCCGTCTTGGAGGCTTCTTGGGCCGTCTTGGAGCCGTCTTGGGCCGTCTCGGGGCCCTTTTGAGGGCCTCTTGGGCCCTCTTGGGGCGATCTTGGAGGCCTCTTGAGCCGTTTAGGGGCGTCGGGGAACCGAAAAGGTTGAAACGCCCAAATCTGTCCAACATCTAAGAAAAAACATGTTTTTTTGCCTCTTGGGGCCCTCTTGGGAGTGCTCTTGGAGGCTTCTTGGGGCATCTTGGAGGCTTGTTGGGTCATCTTGGAGACCTCTTGGGCCGTCTGGAGGCCATCTTGGGCGCCGTGGAGCGATCTTCGGGCGTCTCGGACCTCTCTTGGATTGTGTTGGGGGCCTCTTGGGGCCCTCTTGGGGCGATCCTGGAGGATCTGGGGGAGTGTCCCGGGCGTGTCCCGGGCGTGTCCCGGGCTCCGCCCGGGGTACTTTTGATCCAGGGACCCCCAGGGGCCGCCCCGCGCGCGTGAACCAGAAATACTGTTTACCAGTTACCGGAGATCTTAGCACGCCTCTGGCCCGTTGGGCCGGCGAATTCTTCACGCTTCGCGGAACCCCACCAGCCCATGCAGAAACCCTGCAATCGACAGCTGACGGGAAAAGGGACGAAGAGACACATTTGGGGCAACAAAGCGAGCAACCAGGTGAACCGAACGATCTTTGGGAGCGAGGGGGGTGGCCTTGGAAGGCCTATTCGGGCCATCCCTGGTGGCGTCGTGGGGGCGAGGGGAAGAGGAGGAGGAGGAGGAAGAGGAGGAGGACGAGGAGGACGAGGAGGACCAGAAGGACGAGGACGCGGATGAGGACGAGGACGAGGAGGATGAGGAATAAGATGAGGACGACGCGGACGAGGACGCATGGAACCATCTAGAGGTATTCATGCGGTTGCTGCTGCTGGTGCTTGTGCTCTCTGGGAGTTTTGGGTGCCCTCTTGGAACCCTCTTGGTAACCCTGGAAGGCTTCTTGGGATCATCTTGGAGGCCATCGATTACATGACGGGGGGTCCCCAACTCAGCTCCCCCTTCAGGAGCCGGCAAACCTCTTTTTGGGGCTTTCTTGGGGCGCTCTTGGGGTGGTCTTGGCGCCGTTTGGAGATTGTGCGAGAGATCTTGAGCCAGCTTGTGCTATCTGAACCATCTTGGAGGTCATCCTGGCTGGGCCCTCTGCGGCCGCTCTTGGGCCTCTTGGGAACCTCTCGGGTGCCTCTTGGGGCCCTCTACGGGCCTTTTGGGGGCCCTCTTGGGGCTCTCTTGGGGCTCTCTTGGGAGCCCTGGGGCGCCTCTTGGGGCCATCTTCGGGGCTATCGATCAAAGGAGGGAGGATTTCGATCGCCCCCCTCCCCCCCCCTCGGGGGCCACGATCCTCGTGATGGGGTGCCACACATTGGCCTTCCCAGGGGCCGACCGCCGCCGAAAAAGTCCAGGGGATGGGGGAGGGGGAGGGGTCAAGACGCCCTTCCCGCCCGCAAGCCGTTTCGCTCACTCCCACCCGCCCTCCCAACACATACGTAGCACCCGCGCCTGGCCCGAGCCTCAGCATATTCAGCAGTCGTCTTTGGATGGGCAGCTACTGAGGGCGAATCCGCCGCCGCCGCCGCCGCCTCCGCCGCCGCCGCCGCCGCCGCACGCCGCCGCCGCCGCGCCGCCGCCGCGCCGCGCGCCGCTGTCCGCCGCGCGCGCGGCGCCCGCGCCGCCGTCCGCACCCGCCGCCGCGGCCGCCGCCCCCGCGCGAATCCGCCGCCACGCGGCTGTCCCGCTGCTGAATCGCCACCCGCGCAGCCGCCGCTGCAGCCGCTGCCGCCACCGCCGCCGCCGCCGCCACCGCCGCCGCCGCCGCCGCCCCCGCCGCCGCCGCCGCCACCGCCGCCGCCCCGCTGCAGAATCGCCGCCACCGCTGCAACCGCCGCCGCCGCCACCGCCGCCGCCGCCGCAGCCGCAGCCGCAGCCGCCACCGCCGCTGCCCCCGCAGCCGCTGCCCTCGGGGGAGGGGTAAAAGCCTCCCCGGGAAAGAGGGGGTTTGTGTAAGAGGAAAGAAAGATTCCCGTCAGACCACCTACGCCCAGAGGGCTGGTGGGATTTGCCCCTCTTCCCCCTGGGGGCTGCTCCTGGGCCTTGGGTGATATGCGGCGGGTTTGTGGATCACCGCTGGGAGGCAGGCGATCTTTTGCACCGCCGCCCTCCCTGAAGGAACAGGAGAACTCACCGACGGGTTTCCTCGTGCTGATGTTTGCGGCGTGCTGCAAGGGCGCTAAGGTAAGGGACGTTTTGGGCTCAGGAAGGTCTTGGTTTTCAGGCCATGCCTTCGATCTAGGATCTAGGTCGGGGGACCGATTCGTGGCCCAGGCTCGCCGTGATCAAATGTGCCCCGTTGTGTTTTATACATCAGTCCTCGTGGTAGCAGCTCGATGACTGTAGTGTGTTCAGACCTGGGTGACCTGAACAGACCGAGACGTAGGTGTTCCCTACCATCCTGTATTGTTGGGTCCTCGTTTTGAAGAGACAGGCCCCGAGGTTTCCCTCCTCTTCCTCCTTTTTCTCCTCCTCCTCCTCCTCGTCCTCTTCCTCCCGCTACCCCCTCCCCTCTGTTCATCAGCTTCATCATCATCATCCCGCATCATCTTCATCATCATCTTCAGCATCAGCATCAGCATCAGCATCAGCATCAGCATCAGCATCAGCATATCATCATCTCTCATCTCATCATCATCATCGCGCCCTCACGGCGTTTCGGGGCCCCATAGGGAGCTCCACCGAAGAGGCCTCAGTGCTTACCGTCCATATGGTGTTCGCCACACCCAATTTCGGCACACCCCTCACTCGCTTCGTGGGCCCCACGGAGCTCCACCGAAGGCCCCAGTGCCACCGTCACCACGTGCGCCCTCGCCACCCATCACTCACGCTCGCTACGGCCCTATCCCCCCCACCCCCTCCCCTCCCGCCGTTTCGTTCCCGGCCCCCCCCCCCCCACCCGGCGACACCTCACACCCCCCCCCCCCCCCCCCCCAACCCAGGGTTCCTTTGGCACCGTTACATGCGTCCCGCCACACCGTGTCGGTATACCCTCACACGTTTCGTGGTGCCCCTATAGGGACTTTTTTTTTTTTTTTTTTTTTTTTGTTTTTTGTTTCTTTTCATCCGAAGGCACACAGGGCTACCGTCCACGTGCGTCCGCCACACCCATTTCGGCACACTCCTCACACGCTTCGTGGCCCCACGGGAGCTCCACCGAAGGCCCCAGTGCCACCGTCCACGAGCGTTCGCTACACCCGTTTCGGCACACCCCACACGTTTCGTGGCCACATAGAGAGCACCACCGAAGGCCCCAGAGGCCATCCACATGCGTCCGCCACACCCATTTCGGTACACTCCTCACACGTTTCGTGGCCCCATAGGGAGCTCCACCCAAGGCCCCAGTGGCAGCGTCCACATGCGTCCGCCACACCCATTCCGGCACACCCTTCACACGTCTCGTGGCCCCATACGGAGCTCCACCGAAGATCATACTCACGACTGCGGCGCTCACAGCTGCATATGGTTGGGTCCTTCGCCAAACTAATTTTGTTTGTTGTGCCTGTGGATGCCACGCTCAGTGCTGGACCAGGAGGGCCAGAGCAGATGATTCGTGGCGCAAGATCCAGCGACAAACGACGAGCTTGAGAGCTGCAGAGCATCGTGCACTGAAGTTGGAATAAATGTCACGGGAGGGGGTAGGGAGAGAGAGAGGAGGGGATGAGTAGGACGATGTCGGTCATGTCAGCGCAATGACGAGTCAAGTCGACGTTTGCCTCAAAGTTAGTTAAGCGAGTGGACGCGTCGTCCTGCCATCCCGTCTCGTCTGATAGATACCTTCACCAGCCACCGCAACGTCGTTGCTGGGAAGGAGGAGAAAGGAAGGAGGAATGGAGGACGAGGAAGAGGAGGATGACGAGGATGAGGATAATGATGACGATGCTGCTGATGATGATGCGGGTGATGCCGCTGATGCTGCTGATGATGATGTTGATGATGCTGATGCTGATGCTGATGCTGATGCTGATGATGCTGATGCTGATGATGCTGATGATGATGATGCTGATGATGATGGTGATGATGTGAAGGCTGATTATGATTATGATTATGAATATGATTATGCTGATGATGATGATGCTGATGCTGATGATGCTGAGGTTGATAATGATTATGTTTATGATTATGAGAATGAATCTGCTGATGGCTGCTGATGATGATGATACTGATGCTGATGATGCCGTTGCTGCTGCTGCTGTTGCTGCTGATGATGATGAGGAAGCTGATGATGATGATGATGATGATGATGATGATGATGATGATGATGATGGTGGTGGTGGTGGTGGTGGTGGTGGTGGTGGTGGTGGTCAGGAGGAGGAGGAGGAGGAGGAGGAGGAGGCGGAGGAGGAGGAGGAGGAGGAGGAGGGGGGTGAGAAGGGAGGAAGAAGAAGAGGGAGGAGGGAGGAACATGGGGGGAGGAGAGGAGGGAGGGAGGGAGGCAGGGGTCAAGGCTTGCGGGTGTATGGGGATCGGGAAAGGTCTTCTTCCACCCCCCCCCGTGTCCCGCTCGATTACACTGTCCCGGGTCGCCCGGCGACTCGACACTTCGACATGTCAGCTTTCTCGCCGCCTTGGGCCCCCAGCTCGGGAGCTGCCAGAGGTGGTCCTGGCCCGAGAGCTGCCTTCAGAGCTCCCCCCTTTTACGAGGCCCAGAGGCCTCCCGGGGCGCCCGAAGTGGCGCGAAAGGCAGGGGGCACAGGAGGGACGGAAGAGAACGGGGTCGGTTGCGCGGACATTCGCGCGTAAGTTTCCCGCGTAAGGTCGCGCGAGAGGGAGCCTTCTTCTCCGCGCGGTGCGCCGCGCTGGCGGCCTGCGTAAGCGTCGGCGTAAGGTCGCCGTGCCATTGTGCGCAAGACGCGCTTCTTTTCGTTGCTCACCTTGGGCCAGGGCGTCTTTGGCAACCGCCGGCCAGAGGCCGGCTTCGATTGCCGGGACCACCAGAGCTCGATTCTGGGTGAAGCGCCAGCCTGGGGGAGAGTGCATCGAGAGGTTGCGGCCTGGGAGCCCACGGCCCCAAAAAGTCAGGCCGCCAGACGTCCAGGCCCACTGTCCCGTCGATGTGCACTGGGTGCAACACTGATCTCAGCAACTGATTGCCGAGCACGCCTCCCAGGGCCGCCGACGGTCCGAGTCAATGCGACTCGACTCGCTGGCTGGGACAACGATTCCGATTTGGGTCCGATCGGATCCGGCTCGATTCGGCGGCCTTGGCTGGGGCTGGGGCTGGCCAGAGCCAGGTGCGGCGCTCCGATCTCGATTCGATTCGGTTCGATTCGGGACGTCGCGAGTCGTTTTTTGACGCTCCCGGGGCCTGGCAGAAGTAAGGGCCCCCGGATGCCGAAATTTGGTAAACACTGTCCACCGTGATGTTTTCACGGCTCGAGGGGGTCTGGGCCCCTCGCCGCTCCCCTCCTCCGCCGAGCCCTCCCCCACCTCGCCTCAGCCGCGGGGCTCTTCCCCCCCCCCGCCACTCTCTCGCGCCCACGCCCCGCCCCGCGCGCAGAAGCACCCCATCCGGTCCGCCCTCGAGTGCTCCGCGTGGCTGGCCACCACGTGCCCCCCGCGCGCCACGGAGCAAACGGCACGGGCCCTGACCCACCAGACATCTAGCGTGTTGACGCATTCGAGACGGAGGTTTCTCCTAGTCTTCGGCCTCTCGGGGCCTTCGCCGGGCCTCGGGACCGTCGGAGGACGACCCAGGATGAGCTGGGCGAGGCGGTCGAGAGGTCGGGGGCCCGCGTCTCGAAACAGTCGGGCCGCAGGATGTCCGGGGATGGAAACTAGTCTCAAGGCACCAGGATCCGATCATTGGCGTTTGCTAAACGGCCCTGGGCGTTTACTAAACAGCCCTGCCCTGTTCGATTCCTTTTTTGGGTGCGTTTGCTAAACGGCTTCGCGTGTCGGGGGTGATTCTTATTAGGGTGGAGCTTCTGCTCTCTATATACGGTCCTGATGTTTTTCCCAAACATCCTGTGGTGTTGGGTCTTCGTTTTGAAGAGACAGCGCCCCGCGTCCCTCCCTCCCGCCTCCTCCACCTCCTCCTCGTCCTCCTCCTCCTCCTCCTCCTCCTCCTCCTCCTCCCTCCTCCCCCTCCTCCCTTCTCCCAGCCCTTGCCCCTGCCTTCATAATGTTTCTGTTTCGGTACACCCCTCACACGTGTCGCGGCCCCATCGGGAACCCCACCTAAGGTCCCAGTGGCGCAGTTCGCATGGCGCCGCCGCCCCATTTTGGCACAGCCCTCACACGGTTCGTGGCCCCATAGGAAGCTCCAACTAAGATCCCAGTGGCGCAGTTCGCATGGCGCCGCCGCCCCATTTGGGCACACCCCTCGCACGCTTCGTGGCCACAATAGGGAGCTCCACCGAAGGTCCCAGTGACGCCGCCGCCCCATTTTGGCACGACCCTCACACGTTTCGTGGCCCCATCTGGAACCCCACCTAAGGTCCCAGTGGCGCAGGCCGCATGGCGCCGCCGCCCCATTTTGGCACACCCCTCACACGTGGCCCCATAAAGAGCTCCACATACGGTCCCACTGGCGCAATTAACATGCCGTCGCCGACCGGCGCAACGCGGGCAACATACGGGGCGGGGACCTGGGGGTGAAAAGGGTAAGGATTGTGGCCCGTTGGCGCTTGATATTGTAGAGGGGAGGGAGGGTGGTGGGGGGGGGGTGTGCGGGGGGGGGGGGGGGAATGGAGGGGGGTGGGGGGAGGGTGGGTCGGGAGGGCGGAGTGGTTAGTGGGGGTGCGTGAAACGCCATTCACCCGCCTTGTGCTTTGTTTTGTGAGGGGCTTTAGTTTTGTTCTTTTCTTATTTTTATGGTTTTTGTGGTTGTTCGTGTTTTTTTTAGTGATGTTAGTATGGTTTTTCATTCAACTTTCCTTTATTTCAATTTCCCCCCCCCCCCCCCCCCCCCCCCCCCCCCCCCCCCACCCTTTCAAACAAGATCCCCCTTGACTGGGTTTAGTTAGCCTGGCGCCGTCGCCCCATTTTGGCACCCCTCGCGCGCTTCGTGATCCCAGGGGGAGCTCCACCTCAGGTCCCAGTGGCGCAGTTTGCATGACGCCGCCGCCCCACTTTGGCACGACCCTCGCACGTTTAGTGGCCCCACAGGGAGCTCCACCTGAGGTCGCATTGGCGCAATTCGCATGGCGTTGCCGCCCCATTTTGGGACATCCCCCGCACGTTTCGTGGCCCCATAGGGAGCCTTCGCAAGGCTAATTTGATACTCTTAGGCCCCCTGGGGCCTGCGCGGGCCCCGTGGCGTCTTCAGAAGGCGGCTTATCACCGAGCGCTGGTCGTCCGGGGGGGGGGGGGGGGGGCTGGGGTTTAGGGCCCGCTTGCGACGGGGCCCGTCCGTTTTGCTACAGCCCTGCAGCCCCGCGAGGTCTAGCCCCGCGCGACAACAAGGAGATCAAATTTCACGACCAGTGGAGGAGCCAGCGGCAGTGGAGGACCAGCCCCACCGCCTTCGGGAGGAGACGGGAAGCAGCCGCCGCTACCATTGCTGGCGCAGCCGCCACCTGCGGCACCCGCCCTGGACTCAGGCGCTGTTGCCGTTCCTACTGCCGACGACCCTGCTGCTGCTCGCGATGATGATGCAGCCCCTGCAGATCTTCAGCAACCTCCTGCACCTGCACCTCAGTGTCCTGCCGACGACGACAAGTCCGACAACTCTGGATCGGGCATTGTTCGAGACTTGCAAAGGATCGCGGTGGAGCAGGCGCGCCAGGAGACACTGGCCAGGCGCCCACTGGACAACGAGAGCCAGCGCGGCACGATGGCTCAGCGCCAGGTGCGACAGGAGAACGCACCGCAGGCCCTGCACCGTGACCGCCAGAGGTAAGCCAGCTATAGGCCCCGGCCGTCGCACCGCTTCCTTCTCGGGGGCGGCTCGTCTCCGAGCGGTGGGCCGCACCTGGGGTGGGAGGGTTGCGTCGGCTCCCGACTGCAGCGCTCCTGCCGGGAGACCCGCGCGCGGCGCAGGAGAAGGAGGCGGAGGAGGAGGAGGAGGAGGAGGAGGAGGAGGAGGAGGAGGAGGACCGAGAGGAGGAGGAGGACGAGGAGGAGGAGGAGGAGGAGGAGGGGAGGAGGAGGAGGGAGGAGGAGGAGGAGGAGGAGGAGGATGAGGAGGGGCAGGGGGAGGAGAAGAATAGGGGGATTATTGTCGCGTGGGGACGCGCGGGCGGTCACAGACGCTCGCCCAGCCGTTCCTCTCTAGCCGCGCGCTCGTGGGCGCCGTGGCTGCGGGCTGCAGCTGGGGCGCGGAGGGCCCGAAGCTGGCTTTTGCCGTGCACCATCCCCTCACGCCCAAGCAGCCGGCCGGTGCCTGTTGGTGCCGAAGCCGGCCAAGCTGGCTGACTGGCTCCACGCCGCCCGCTCGCTTCACGCCCCGCACCTACGGTTGGCTCGTGTCGTGTCGACGCGACGGCGACAACGGAGCGGGCGCGCAATTTTGAGCGCCTGAAGTGGCCGAGCATCGGCTGACATCAGGCGACCTGCCCCATCGGGAAGCTGCAATCGTTCGATGTTGAACGATCCACGCGGTGTCATACCGTCCATCAGCGTCGTCATACCACGAAACTGCCGTACACCGTACACCCCAGCCCACCCCGCACCGGTTTGCATCGTCTCGCCTCGCCCGGTCCATGTGCCGTTCTCATCCGTTGTCCATTTCGCTCCGCTCTGCTATGTTTTGTCCTGTCCCGCTTTACTATTTTTGGATTTAAGAGGGTGAGGGCGTGGACGTGGAGGGAGGTAGGGATGATGATGAATGAGATCCATAAGATGGGGACGAGGAGCAGGAGGCGGGAGATAACCTACGAGGCGGATGATGGGAGCAGGAGGGGCTGGACCAGGAGTGGGGACGAAGGGTTCCCAGGGAGGACCAACACGCGGAGAAGGAGAAGGGAAGAGGCCACCGTCGTTCGTCGCCCTCGCCGTCGTCATTCGCCGCCGCCGCCGCCGACGTCGACGTCGACGTCGACGTCGTCGCCGTCGCCGCCGCCGCCGTCGCCGCCCGCCGCCGCCGGCGTCGCCGTCGCCGTCGCCGTCGCCGTCGCCGTCGCCGTCGCCGTCGCCGTCGTGGTGACGGCGGCGGCTACGGATTCGGCGGCCTTCGGGCTCCAGGGGGGGCCCGCGCCCCCACCACGGAGTAGGTATTGGCTGTTGTTTTGGCGCCTTTTTCGAGCAGGTGGAAACTTCCCCATAGGGCGCACTGTTGCAAACAGTCGCGCCGAGCAGAGGTCTGGGGCAAGACCCCCCCCTCCCCCCCTTTCGGTCAATGTCGAACCGCCGAATATGAACAGTTGTCCCCACGACCACGGCAGATTCCGCGCTTCGGAGGAGTCTACAGGGACGGACCTCGGGAGGGCGTCCGACAACCGATGTTGAGCGGAAATCGTCGGCTCGTTCAGTCGTGGCGACGAGAACCCTCTGAACTGTTAAATTTCGGAACCAAAGTCGCCGCCGCCGTTGCCGCCGCCGCCGTGGTTGAGGTCGTGGTCGTGGTCGTGGCCGTGGTCTTGGTCGTCGTCGTCGTCGTCGTCGTCGTCCTCCCGCTCCTCCTCCTCCTCCTGCTCCTCCTCCTCCTCCTCCTCCTCTCCTCCTCCTCCTCCTCCTCCTCCTCCTCCTCCTCCTCCTCCTCCTCCTCTCCCTCCTCCTCCTCCTCCTCCTCCTCCTCATCCTTGACGATCTCGCTGCCGTCCGCAACGTTGTCGCCACCGTTTTCGCCGTCCTCGCCCTTCTCGTCGCCATCGTTTCGTGCCCGTCCTCGCCGCCTCCGCCGTCGTCGTCGGCGAGTGCCGCCGCCACCGCGGAGTCTGGCGGTACGGAGGCGGTCAGGCGGCGGTGGCGGCGCCGGCAAGGTACGCCGTGCACAGCCGCTCGTCGGGGCTGCTGCCTCTGTCGGCGGTCATCGGCGGCTTGGCAGGGTTTGCTGTGTCCATCGTCGGGGACCGCGCCACGGGGCCGGGGGTTGCCAGAGGTTACCAGTCGGTCGGCATGCACGCGTCGTGGCACTATTTTACATCGGGACGTTTTTTGTAATTTTCGGCCTCCGGGGGCCCTCGCTGGGCCGACCGTCAAAAGTTGACTCGGGATGAGAAGCCGGTCCCACGGAATGAGTTGAGACCTCCAGGGGTCCACATTGCGAACGAATCACGACGCTGAGGGTGTGGAAGATGGCCTTGGCTCAAAGTGCCCCCAAGATTTCCGGCTGAGCACAGACGGCCTCCAGAGCAGCCCTCTCGAGTCCCAGAGGGCACCAGAGGGCTCCGAATTGGCGCGGGAAGCTGGAGACGCCTTGGGCCAGGACCACTTCTAGCAATATCCGTGTCGGGGCTCATGCAAAGGGGGCTTCAACCGCCCCTGTTTGACCCGGGTGTGGGAGCCACCAGGGCCGCCAGGAACACCCCCCACGAGGCGCATGCGGGGGGCCCCGCGGAGCTCCAAGCGGGTGCAAGAAACCAAAGGGGAACCTGGGCCAGGTGTACTTCAGGGAACCTCGGGGGCTGGGAGGGGGCGCAGCAGCGAAGAGGAGGGGGGAGGGGGGAGGGGGAAGGAGGGAGGCAAAGAGGGAGGAAGGGCTGAGGAGGACGGGGAGGACAGTCATGCTGGTCGTGAAGCACTGGTTTCGGGGTTTTGCTGGAGGAGCTCATCTCGCCGCATCGTCATCATCATCATCATCATCATCATCATCATCATCATCATCATCATCATCATCATCATCATCATCATCATCATCATCATCATCATCATCATCATCTTTACTGTCGTCACCCTCATCGTCATTATCCTCATTATCACTTTCACCATCGCCATTACCCGCCACAAGCACGCCACCGTCGCCGTCACTATCAGCACCTGAGTCATCATCATGATCATCCTATTGCGGTCCGCCATTATTTTCTCCGAGAGAGCGTGTTCTACAGCTGCTGGCGGAAAACCGGGGGGGGGGCACTGGAGGTTCCCAACCTGCTCCACCCCCGCCTTTCGAAAACCAGAGGGGGGGTCACTACCGGTTCGAACCCCCCGTCCCCCCCCCGTCCATCATGAACACAGGGGGGGTCACTACCGTTTCGATGCCCCCCCCCCCTCACCGCCAGCAAACAATTCCCGCTCCTCGGGACAGTGGGACAGTGCTGGGGACACTGGGACATTGTTGAGGACGGTGGTGGTGGGGACACTGGTGTGGGGACAGGTGGACAGAGGTGGGGACAGTGGGACAGTGGTGGGGACGGTGGTGGTGGTGGTGGGGACAGTGGTGAGGGAACAGCGGGACAGTGATGGGGACAGTTGGGACAGTGGGATAGTGGTGGGGACGTTAGTGGTGGGGACAATGGTGAACGCGGTGGTGAGGACGGTGTGGGACAGTGGTACAGTGGGAAGAGTGGTGGGGACAGTGGGACAGTGGTGGGGACAGTGGGGACAATGGTACAGCACAGTGGGACAGCGGCGGGGACAGTGGGGACAGTGGGACAGTGGTGGGAACAGTGGGGACAATTGGACAGCGGTGAGGACAGTGGGGACAATGGGGAGAGTGGGACCGTGGTGGGACAATGGTGGGGACAGTGGGGACAGTGAGACACTGGTGGGGCACTGATGGGGACAGCGGGGACAATGGTGGGAACAGTGGGGATACTGGGACAGTGGTGGGGACAGTGGGACAGTGGTGGGGACGGTGGTGGTCAGTGGGACAGTGGTGGGGACAGCGGGGACAGTCGGGACAGTGGGGCAGTGGTGTGGACGGTGGTGGTGGGGACAGTGGTGTGGGCGGTGGTGAAGACCGTGGTGGGATAGTGGGACAGTGGTACAATGGGGACAGCGGTGGGGACAGCGGGGACAGTGGTGGGAACAGTTGAAAGAGCGCGTTCTATGGTCGCTTGGAGGGGGGAGGGAGGGTTTTGAACCGGACCCCCCCCTCACTTACTTCTCATCTCTCCCTCTCCTCGGCTGCCGGCGGCGGCGGGGACGACGATTTCTTTTTTGGGGCGGCGCCGGCGCCTGCGGCGGTGGGCAGCGACAGCAAGGGGCGTCGCCGAGGACGACGGTGGTGGTGGTGGTGGTGGGCTGTGGTGGTGGTGGTGGCGATGGTGGTGGTGGCGGTGGGTGGTGGTTGTGGTGGTGGTGTGGTGGTTTGTTGTGGTGGTGGTGGTGGTTGTGGTGGTGGGTGGTGGTGGTGGTGGTGTGGTGGTGGTTTGGTGGTGGTTTGTGGTGGGTTGTGGTGGTGGTGGTGGGTTGTGGTGGTGGGTTGTGGTGGTTGTGGTGGTTTGTGGTGGTGGTTTGTGGTGGTGGTTTGTGGTGGTGGTGGTGGGTTGTGGTGGTGGCGGTGGTTTGTGGAGGTGGTGCTGGTGGTGGTGGTGGCGGTGGTGGTGGTGGGTGGTGGTGGTGTGGTGGGTTGTGGTGGTGGTGGTTGTGCTGCTGGTGGTTTGGTGGTGGTTGTGGCGGTGGTGGTGGTGGCGTGGTAGATTGTGGTGATGGTGGTGGTGGTGGTAGTGGTGGGTTTTTGTGGTGGTTATGGTGGGTTGTGGTAGTGGTGGTGGCGGTGGTGGCGGTGGTGGTGGTGGCGGCGGTTGTGTGGTGGGTTGGCGGTGGTGCTGGTGTGTTGAGGCTGTGGTAGTGGTGGTGGTAGCGGTGGTGGTGGTGGTGGTGGTGGTGGTTCTCGTCGCAGCGTCCCCGCAGTCGCCGGCGCCAGCGCTGGCGCTGCTGACCGCCGCTAGCGCTGGCGCCAGCGCCAGGGGTGGGGTTTTGAACCCCCCACACCCTCGGCGCCAGGGGTGGGGGTTTGAACACCCCCCCCCGTTGCGCTGCCTCTGGTCATCGTCGCTGCTTCTCCGCCGTCGGCGCTGCTGGCGGCCGCCGGCGCCGGCGCCGAGGGGGGGGGGTTCAAGCCTTACCCCCCCGTCCTTGGGAGGGGGGAAGGTCAGAGCCCCGAATCATCAGGGGTAACTCGGGTCAGGGTTAACTCGGGTTCGTTTTTCGGGAATCCGAACCCGAGTTACCCCGGACCCGAGTTACCCCCGATAATTCGGGCGTCCAGAGCCCCACATCATCAGGGGTAACTCGGATCAGGGATAACTCGGGTTCCTTTTTCGGGAATCCAAGCCCGAGTTTCCCCGGACCCGAGTTACCCCGGATAACTCGGGCGCCCAAGAATGGGGGGGATTCGGGAGGGGGAGGGAGTGGGCGGGAGGGGAGTCCCCCTGGTTTAAAGTGACGGCGCCGAGTGTTTGGGGGGGGGCACCCCTTGGGTCGAAACGCGCCGCCGAATGTTCCCAAGGCAAGTGCCCGTGAAACGCGTTTTGGAGCAGTGCGACAGTGGTGGGGGCACTGGTGGGGACAGTGGGGACGGTGGTGGGAAAAGTGGGGACACTGGTGGTGGGCACGGTGGTGCTGGGGACGCGATGGGGGATGTGGAGCGGACGTGGGGGGGGAGTTGGGGGGGTGGGTCCGAGCTGGTAGTGGGCCCCCCAGCGGTTTTCTAAGGGGGGGGGGTGTCGAACCGGCAGTGACCCCCACCCCCCGGTTTTTCCGCAGGGGGGGGGGGCCGGGGAAAGGGAGGGGAGGGGGAGGGGGTTCCAGCCGGGGGGGATTTTCGAAGGGGGGGGACCCCGATGTTCCGGAGGATGACGGGGGAGATTTCCCAGTAGAGTGGCGGTGGATCATGCTCTCGCTTTTCTTATCATCCTTCACTTTCTATTCCCCATACACAATTTTTATGTTGGGTCTCTGTATATATTTGGTTCAAGAAATTTGTGGGTGCCCTGTCGGTTCTGGAAACGGTCGAGCGGCGTTGCCCCCCGCTCCCGTGGCCTCCGGTCCGGTTGCCTTTCGAGGCTTCCCACGGCCTTCCGCGGCCTCCTTTGGCCTTCCGTGGCCTCCCGTTGTTTCACTGGTCTCCCGTGGCCCCCCATTGCCGTCCCGATCCTTATCTTCCCCACCCCTCTGCGTTATTATTTTTTGTTTTCAGATGTCATTGGTCCTCATCCCCATCCTGTATTCCTGTCCTGGCCCTGTCCCCATCGTGATCCCCACATATCTAGCTCTCTATCTCCCTATCCCTACTGCTACTATCTCTATTCCTATCCATATCGCTATCACGATCCTTCCATCGTGGCACTCCATCGCGCCCCCGCCGTCGTGATCCCCCATCGTGGTCTGCATCGTAACTGTGCAAAGCTGCGCAGGGTCTTCTGTCGCAGGGGTGTCATTACTATTACTCTTTGTCGTCGTCCTTCTCCTCCGCCTCGTCCTTCTCCTCATCCTTCTCCTCTCTCGTCCCTGTATCACTGCCCATATTCTTGGTTATTTGTCCTCTATCCTCCCTGCTTCCTGCCCCACCTCCCAGGAGCTCGGCTTCTCCCATGTGGATGGACCAGTCCGTCCCGTGAACGACGACCCGCGCCTGGTGTATCGCGAGGACGCTGCGGATGTGGATGGGCAAGGGGGGGGTAAAGGGGGTAAGGTGGGGGAAAATGGGGTGTCCGTGGTTCGGTCGGTTCGGCGTCGTCGCAGAAGTTTGGGTTCCGTCGCTTCGATGAGGCCGCGGAGGGATTTCGGGGCACAATCGGGACATGGGGCGGGGCAGAATCACCAACGAAAGATCCCGGTGTGAAACGAAGGGGAGGCCATGATGATGATGATGATGATGATGATGATGATGATGATGATGATGATGATGATGATGATGATGATGATGATGATGATGATGATGATGAGGATGAGGATGAGGATGAGGATGAGGATGAGGATGAGGATGAGGATGAGGAAGAGGAGGAGGAGGAGGAGGAGGAGGAGGAGGAGGATGAGGATGAGGATGAGGATGAGGATGAGGATGAGGATGAGGATGAGGATGGGGATGAGGAGAGGATGAGGATGATGATGTTGATGTTGATGTTGATGTTGATGATGATGATGATGATGATGCTGATGATGAGGATGATGATGATGATGATGATGATGATGATGAAAGGCCGCCACAGTTCGAGCCTGCGGAGGCGCAGCGGCCTCAGCGGACGCGCCCCCCGTATTCAGGCATCCAGCAGAGAGCGCAGCCTTGACTCCTCCCCGCATGGACGCGACACCATGGCGATGCTCCAGCGCGTGAGCTTCGAGTGCCGCGATGACGAGGATGTCAGCCAGCTGCGAATATGACGAACACATCCGCCTCTTGGAGAGCGCTGAGGATGCTGATGAGGACTACGCTCGATTGGATGAGCACAGTGATATTGAATGGATTGGCACAGTGCCGCATCAAACCCCCGACTATGCAGGAAAACTACGCGACTATGATCACGACCCACAACGAGCAGAAGGCAACGCACAGGAAGATCAAGCGGCAAGACAGGTACTACAAAAAATGGACGAACCTTTGCAGTATGCCTCCCCCCATGAGGAATTTCAGGGGCACTGTGGCACTTCGCCCACCACGCCACCTCTTACGTACACGCCACCACCGAGAGTCGCTACGACTGACGTTACCTCACTGGCGGTGGTGGGATGTAATCTTTTCGTTCTGAAAGGCACTCATAAGTTTCAGACCCTGCTGATGGTTGGTACCAAGCTACGTCAAAAAGGCTCGAGACGTCCCACACCAGAGCGGCGATAGCATCAAGTATCATTGGATACATTTCGGATGGGGACGCACACCACACTCCAACCCATCAGCGGGGTGCAGCACCGCTCTCAGCAAGAAACATTTTCGGAAACAATTTATCGCATATTACATCCAAGTGTTGAATGACAAGGGCGGGGAGGCGTTGTGGAAGTACATCGAGGTGCGCTACGACTCCGTTTCATCACGGCGTACTTCCCGCCATGTCCCAGACAGGCAGTTCACGTTAGAAGATGGTTGATGGGATGTCGCGAATTATGGAAATGGTTCATACAAGTTACGACGGAGGTTCCCGACCGAGTTATACCAATTGTTTTTGCGGTTTTGAATCAGGGGCTCGGCAAGACTGGCAGTACAAAAAAACACGGACGAAGCCATTGGACCCTATCAAGCAAGTGCGGAGACAGCGTTCGGAAAGGATTTACACCCGGCCCTCCGCCAACACGAGTTGACAGCGCTCAACAGCTATCGGGACGCCGGGTACACGTACCACGGACCGAACAAGAGCATGTCACGAATCTATATTTCTTGGGATATTCCAATTTGCTCGAGGTTGTGAGAACTATTAAGCTCGAGTGGAGAATCCACCGACGAGTTCGATCACTTGTGCACGTTCCCGATCATGTACCAAAGGCCCTCCACTGCCGCATCCCAGTCACCCAGGTTGATCCACTCCAGGCGCCAAATCGATGGGGCTGGGGTTTGTTGGCACAAGGAATGCAGAAGGGCACCTATCGGGAGGAAATGGCGGAGGCAGTCGCATTTTTTTTCTCAAGAAATATGATAAAAAAGGAGGTATTGCGAGCAGCACGTATGGGCCAATTTCCTACCATACACAACGCAGTTTTGCAGCGCATCATCACCACCAACGCGGCTAAGTACTACAGCACGGACAACAACAAGCCCGAGCGGTGGAAGGAAGCCCGCGAGCGACGCCTCCAACTCTTACGACAGAGAGGACGTGCACGTGCTGAAGGCGACGATTTCAATTCCAGCGAGCTCATCAACATCCAGAAGCAACTTAAGGCTCACCAGCGGGAAATGAAGCGTTGGTGGAAGACCAGCTTAGAGCAGGACATACGCGAAGCATGGGCAGCCCGAGATCTTTCACGAATATCGCATCTTACTTACCTTCGGGCTGGACGCCGTACTGGAGCCCGCAGACGTTCGTACTTATCACTACCAGCTACTCGGCCCAGTGGTGCTGAATACTTTGAGACGTTGCCGTCGGCAGCTACTGAAGGTGGACCCCAGGCGAGCAAGGCGTATCCCAGCATGTGCATCGACGATCCCGCGGCCAGATCCAGACTACTATTGCGAACGGGCAACGTATCACCAGTCAGCGAATACGTGAGCGTACCGACCATAGAGCAGCAGGAAGCAGCATTTGAGGAGCTTCAGCATATTCAAAGAAGGCTATGCCGTGAGAAGCGTCGCAGATACAACCCACCGTGGGCCTGGCCGATAGAGATCGCGATTATGCTAATCAGCCCCGCCTACTTGACGCGCCCAGGCCAGGCAAGAGCGGGTGTTGGACATCAGGCCCAGGACTGCAATCGAGCGTCTTTTCTGGCCACCATGAAGAAGTCTCTCCGACAGCGACTGCTTCGATTGGATCAGCAATCGTTCTACGAGATCGCGCAGGCCTTCGTGCAGCTGATCGCGCATGTACATCGCGCGCAGGATCTACCTGCACGGGCCTTCACGAGCCACGCAATCGCAATTGGCAAGAAAGGGAAGTTCCCGACAGGACGCCCGACGCGTGACATTCAAAATTGTGTTCGGCTACTCAATTGCTTTGACCACGCTTGGCGATTATATCTCCGTATCGGCATTCTTGAGTACGGCAGTCAATATGATCCGCCTCCGTGAGCCTATGGAGGTAGCTTTGCTTGTCGGCGAGAGGCGCTGGTGGTATTGGTCGAGCTCATTAGTTGGAAACTTCCTCTCTCGCGATTATCCTTCTTGGCCAAGTCCCATGACATGCGCGGCGCCTTTGCCGCGGGCACGCATGCGCTGCTGATGGCGGCGCGCGCCCTGAGATGCGAGGGCGAACATTTTCACCAATTCCTCTCTCAGCGCCGCGGGCAGGCCGCAGTATGCATCCAGGCCTCGGACGCGAACCTTGCTCTTCGGCCGTGGACTTGGGGGGGGGTGGGGGGTTCGAACGAGCCAGAATTATTCATGGGACCATTCTACCCTATGGTATCGCAATGGGAAGCAGAGATGGCTGAAGTACTGGGTGACCCGTTCGCTGTTGTGCGCCCTTTCACCTCGACGACCCGCGCGGGTCACTTAGGGGCATTCGTCGACGACTTGTTTGAGATTTTCCGGGTCTTTGACGGGGCGGCACATCAAGCGGCATTGCTCGACATGATAGATAACAGTGCCCTCGCCCAGGCCCTCGCTTTCGGAGGCCACGCCGCGAACGTAGGTAAGCAGGGCGCGCTTGTCTCATTGGGAACCCGAGCTGCCACGCAGGAAGCCGGGCGAAGAGCCTTGGGGAGGGCCCAGCAGGAGCTCGTGCACTTAGGCGGCTACGTCCGCGTCACAAATAGCAATCTTCGTGTCTCGACAAACGCATTCACTCAGCAAATGTGGGGTGGGCACGTCTTGGGGACTACTGTTTCTCTGGGGGCCCATGGAAAAGTGAAATGTTATCATTTCTCTCAAACGTGGCTGGGCGCATGCGGTCAGGCCTGGAAAGCTATGTATTACGCCCGCGCGAAGCTCACCGCCTAGATAACGCGCTTGCACGTGGGCTTCGAGCCATGATGAGGGGGGGGAACCATCAGATTGATGAACATGATACACATCATTTCCTCACCACGCTTCAGCTTTTTTTCGAGAATGGCAAGTCGCTCCGACGGCCATCGAGTTGCTCGCGTGCAGGCTCAGTTGGCGGCAGAGCATTGTTGGCGGTCGCAAGCAGCACAGCCACTTTCTTGTGATTATCTTTGGCAGGTGCAGTTTCGAGAATGGCTCGCATGACAGACCTTGTGCTGGACCTGCCCTCGCTATGCAGGGGGAGATCGCCACCGCCAGCTCGACGCACCCGTGGGCATTACAGCTAGCCGACGATTTACAGTGCCTGGCCGAACGCCCCATCGGACAAACATTCGGGGAACTATGGCGGCCACCTGTGGTAAAATCCCTTTGGGAGGATGAGGGGTTCCGCGACGCGTTCCGACAGTGCGACGCCCGAGCGTTGCGAGCGACCTTCTGGACTACGAGGTGGACCCCCCCAGACACCAGCAGGTTCTCCGAGGCCCTGCCGTCTGCCGTGCACGTCGAGGCCGACGGCGGCACCGAGTGCGACCGACCCTTCAAATGTAACATTAATGGGTGCTCGTCAGGGTTCGAAACTATCAAACGCCTACGTTTTCAAAGCGGAGAGACATGGGTTTGCATTTATCTTCACGTTATTGCAAGTGGACAGTACATGTATCGCATGTCACACCACATTTCCTAACCGTGAACATGCTGTACGGCATCTACGAAGATCATGGATTGCTGGGCGCTGCATACATGACCTCACACACCATGAGTACCCATGGAAGGCAGCTACGACGACGACGTGTCCCCTATGAGAATACGATCTGGATCCCGCATGTCGCTACGATTCTATGGATTCCGAAAAGCTACGATCACATGTGTATACCCACCTCCCTGTGTCGCCATGTGGATCACGGCTCAAGGTTGTTTTCAGACGCGAGACCAGAGGGCCTCGGGCCGCGTCGCCAGGGGGAGTCCCACCTCCGCCACTCGTACATCCAGTTCGCAGACCAATCCGTGCAGCGCGGGGT